AAACAAATAAAAAAATATAAAAAATTAAACATTAATATTTTAAAAAAAATTCCCAATATATAAAAAATAAAAAAATATAAAAATTTCTAATCCCCTCAGTATTTTTCTAATACCATCTCTACCTCCTCCTTCCCAATTCTCCTTCCAAGGCCTTTACTAATACCAAGGGATTAGGAGTCCCCTCCCCATCTCTCAAAATAAACACCTCATATAGTAGTCCCACCTCACTATCAAACCCACTCCCCTCCCTATAACACCAAACAAACGGGACCTAGGGAGTGTTAGTGTAATTTGTCCAAAAATAAATAAAATTATGAATAACAAAGTTAAGCCTTTTATGCTAAGACAAAAAACTGAAAACGTAAGACCATCTCCAACGGTGAATCAAAGTTGGTATCAGATTCAAATTTTGATGAAAAAGGCACTTTTTTATGCTCCAACCGTTGTACCAGATTGATATCAAAATGAGATTTCAGCAAAAAAGCATCAAACTGAGAACGAGACACAGATTTTACCAAATCACTGTTACTGACCGTTGAAAGAGGTACACCGGTCAACCAGTATAATTCTTATTTTATCCACTTTCCGTTTTTTATTCTCCACAAATGTCCGCCCCAATTATTGATTTCCAACACGAGGATAAAATCATTTCTATATCTCTCAATATTCTTTTTATGGATTTTAATTTGGATATGAACTAATGATATGAACGGTCAATTTCGTAGGTTTTGCAATAAAGGCTGTCCATGCAAAAAATTAGTCTCATGGGACAATTATAAACATGAAAATAAATTACATTTTATTTTATAAAATAAAATAGATAGTTTAAATTTATTTATATTTATTATTCATTTTATAAAATAAAATATGATTTATTTTTTTATTTATAATTTTTTGTATAGATGACTTTTATTATGGGGAACATATTGTACTCGTACCGAGTATTATGAAGAATCGATACTTTTGTATGGTTGCTTTTGCATACATATTGGATATGCGAAATACATATTCAAAAAAAAAATTTCTTAATTTTTGTTGTACCTCAAATGTACCTAGTATATACCCAAGCAAGCCGTACCTCATTCGAAATAGTGTTTTCTTCTAATATAGGGGGAAAATTAATTTTAAAGGACTTTTATTATTATTATTATTATTATTATTATTATTATTATTAATTTCCATTCACAAAATCTAATTACAAGTAACCAAATTAAATGGTCTGTGTGCTAAGTGAGGAGAATGGAAGCAAAAAATGACGAAAAATATATGAGCGCAAAATAATCTTCTCGTATAATCCTGCTGATCAAGTTTGTGCTTCCTCCGAACGTCGTCGCTTTACTCGTTGAAAACACAAATGTGAGCTAGCCGGCGGGTGTGTGCCGGATACCTCTCTGATGCCTAAGTTAGAAAAATAGGCAAAAAACTCTGTGTATTCGAGAATCGAAGTTGTGATACCTGTACAGAAGTCCTGCTATGAGCTTTTATAAATTCCGCTTGGCAAACTCCTAGTAGGATTCCAACTCTTCCTCATAAGAATTCTCCTAGGAATCACTCACCCTACTCACTACTAACCAAGTGAGATGGTTTGCACAATCCTAGTGGGACTTTACTCTCCTTAGCAGAGTCATCCTAGGAATTAGAAAGGTAATGCTCATCTTTCTACACTCTTCCCACTGTTTACTCAAGGGAGATGGTTATACCGCGGTAAAACCTCAGTACGACCAAACTAACCCAGAACTTCGACATACATAGCTCGGTGCTTCTATGTGCAACGCTTAGCTCGGTACCTATACCTCGGTTGGTTACCACCGAGACCGAGCTAATTTGCAATTACCTCTGACCGGGATAACAGAAGTGGGGTCCAAGTCACAGAACCCATTCACATCGGCCCACAGCCCGACTAATTCTTATACTTTGGACCTTGCTCGGTCCATCACTATTCCTGGACCCAGTTTGGCTCCGACTCACAAAATCTCCCTCTCAATTGCCCATTAATTCCATCTGCAGCGCATGATTTGGGATTACTCTTCTCTAGCCCAGCTAAAAGCATTCAAGCCAACCGAGGTCACCCCCTACCGGGCTACCGATTAGTCCGGTTCATAAACGTCCATTCACTCTGTACATCTGAATCATTTCCTATTCGTATGGACACATGGCTAGCTCCCACTGGTCAAGTACAACTGTCGCTGCTACCCTCGTGCTCCGAAAATTTGAACAGTCCCGCCCATTTCATATGCTTTATACAAAAGAACTCCCATTTTTGAAAAACACTCCTATTGTTCATCTTCTTTCCTTTGCCCTCTAAGAACTTGTGCATTCGAAGCTCCATACTCACGCCTTCATCTCCATTGGCTACTGTTCCTTCGCGACTTCACACTCGTAAGTTTGCTAACACTTCTTTATGCTGTTCTTTTTCAACTATTTCTTCATTTTTGATATTCAATCCCCACATACATGTGTTTATATACGCTAGATATCCACCATAATACTGAACAAATGCTATAAACCCCAAACCTTAGGCTCGAGCTCAAGAACACAACATCTGGATTCAGAAAACATGAAGTTTTAATCTAGAATCGTGCTGTAACCGAGCTAAAAACCTGTTTATGCAACTCTAGGCTTAAACACAACCGAACTAGGGAACTCCACTCAATAACCGAACTAAAATTTTCACGCCTCGCCTTATGTTACAACTGGTCTAAGAACCTTCTTTCACATTTAGCCGAGCTAAAGACTTTTGCTCCAACCGGACTAAGAACGGGTCGCATCCCACGTAGTCGAACTAGGGTTATATTTATTTTGCCTTTATACTTAGCACGGTCTAACGATCTGGGCTTAACACTTTTCATCTCTACTTTGCAGACTCTGACTAGGTTGGCCAGGCACACCTTTGCACGCTCAAGCGAGATACTCAACGTCATCTCAACACCGAGCTAGTACTCCGAGCTAATTTATACATAATTTAAGTCCACATGGGCAAATATTGATTTTTAGTAAACTCTCGGGCCATTGCCGAATTCCGTAAAGACTACAACATCCCTGATGATGTTCATCTTTCTTTAGCCGAACTAAATACCACACCCTGGGGAAAACAAGGTTTCGTTCCATATACCGTACTATCCATTGTTGAAGCCAGTCTCTGATTCCCAGTCCAGCCACTCCTTTGTGAATTCCTCAGGCAAACAAGACTCTGCCCACTCGGCTCTCCACAAATAAATGGTATCGCCGAGCTAAACCGCCGGCTTGGGCTCAACCTCGGTTTAGTCAAGCCATTTCATCAATACTCACTAGGCCAAAATGAAG